GGTACCACCTCTATAGCTGGAATGGGGACCCTCATCCTCAGAGAAGACAATAAACGTACCTCATGGAAAACTCAAGGTTCTCCCCCGAGCTGTTTGAATATTTTCTTCTCCTACCACCCCCTATATTTGATATTCTACGTGAATATTTATTAATAAACAGAATATATATACAGAAAAACATAAACCTGAATACAGTGGCAAAATGTATCAAAGATCATAAATATATATAATATATATATACACACACATATATATAGCCTCTGATTCCTTGTATTGTTGGACCATCTTGATGTAGACAGCCTGTACTCTCTGCATAGACAGCCTATGCTGTCTGAAAGCTGAGTTTATATTTCACGCCATGCTCGTGCTGCCACCTGTAGGCCTCTCAATGGGCATGCCACTTGAAACGGCATCACCCTGCCTTTCTCTCACTTGGCGTCCAGGCATCCTAGAGCCAACAAGGCCTACTCCTCTCTCCATCACTGGCATGGGCCCCCTTGGGGCCATGGGCTCAAACACACTGCCTGTGTACCCAGATATCGCAAATAAAGTAAGAAGCCTCCGAATCTTTTTCATTGAACCCAGCCTGCAACAACGTGACAGTCACCATATCCTTAAACATTGGTGACAGCGGAGCCTTGCAGCAGTTGTGTTGCCCTGGAGAGATGAAGGAAGTGGAATGAAGTTGTCTTCACTTCATCACCTCACACAAAAAGCATCCGTCTCTCAACGACTTATCCTGATGTCGTGTCTGCACGTTTCAGCATCCAGACACAGGTACACGCAGGATTCAAGCCGTAATTTGTCGAATTTCTTCGAGAAATTAAGTGGCGTCCCTGGGAGTCCACGCCACAGCGCCCCACACTGTTTTCCTAAGTCACGTGTTCATCGTCACATGTATGTTTTTCCTGTTGTTTTTCATCTCAGCACGGCTATTTCAGCAAGTCAGAGGTGAGTTTGTGGTGATTTCTGTGTTCAGTGTGAGTGTTTCTCCCCGTGTTTGTGGGTGGGAGAGGAGGAAGTACCGATTCTTGCCTAACCAATGCTCGCCCTACTGTACGCCACACCATACACCACTCGTCATTGCTCTCACTCCCTCTGCTGTGTTTTCCGCTGTTTTCCGTGTGAATGTTTTGCCAGAGCTGTGTATCCGAGTGCCTGAGGTCACTCAAAATCACGTGGATCACTAAGCCACGTGTGGACGAAGCAACGTGGGGTGTGGACGATGTCACATGGATCTACAAACTACTTGGGTTACCTAGCCAGACGTCCCAAGCCACTTGCTGTGGTCAGCTGCAGCATCACTCCACTGACGTCAGCTCACTGCGTCATCCACGATGCTGCCAGACTTCACGACGTCACGATGTCATCCTGACGTCACCTCACGATGTCAACCCATGACATCACCTCATGACGTTCACCCCTGACATCACTACATGATGTCACATCGAGCGTTTTCACAGTGAGCAACATGTTGTGCTGTCGAGAAGATTGAGAGAAGTTATATGTCACGTGTTAATTCCTCTAAGTCAGTGTTCTCCCATGTTCGTGTATGGCTTAGGGTCGATTCTTGCACAGAAAAACATCATTTGCTAGTAAGCCATGTTGTACCGCATGTGCAGTGTGGGTATGTGAAGTTTTCTGTGTCCTGTGTGGTCTTGAGCCCAGCTGTGTGTGGACCACAGGTCTGCACCCGGACCACTTTGTAGCACCTCGTGTTACTTGTCACTTGGTGTGACCTGCATGTTTGACAGCTGACACTAGTCAGCCCCAAGCATCTGAGCCCTTTGTGCAGAAAGCTTTTTGTGCTCGCCACTCGTGATGCCGTGCAGAATCGTACTCACTATGATTCCCATCTAGATTTGTTTCACTTCACCTCCTGACCTTCAGAGCAGTTATATGTAGACCAGTCTGGGGACGTTTAGACTAACCTCTGCTATAACTCAAACTGCCGAGAGAATGACACTCGTCAAGCCGCAGTTAGACCCTGTCGGCAGGCGCTGTGTCAGCCTCGTGTCATAAGCTTCAGTGAGCAGCCTGCACAAAGTTGATGTCACTTTGACTGCTAGCTCACTCACTCCAGTATGGTGTATGATGTTACGACTTCCAGATGTTTTGCCGAGTTGTCTCTGCCACGACTCACTCCACGCTCGCTGGCAGTGACAGCCCCAGCAACAGTACCAGTCGAGAAATGTCCTCCTGAGTCGCTTGCCAGAAGAAGTCCTGCTCAGTTGCCGAGTACTGATGGTGCCTCACTAGAGGGCACCAGCAGGTTGTGCCCCAGGTTGAGTGGACCCTGCAGTGACTACTACGATGACTGCTTCACCATTCCAGAGTAGACCGTATCCTGTGTTGCAGTATCTGTCCAGATGCAGAAAGGCGTGCAGTGATGCTCATTGATGCTCACTACCTATGACCACGATATTTAGCACACCCCACCTGTTTTTTTCTTCCCTCCCTGTAGGAAGTTTTTTTTCCCATGTCCACACATGTATATATATATATATATATATATAATATATATATATATATATATATATATATAATATATATATAATTATGAGCGTGTTAGATAGGAGTGAATGGAGACGAATGATACTTGGGACCTGACGATCTGTTGGAGTGTGAGCAGGGTAAATATTTAGTGAAGGGATTCAGGGAAACCGGTTATTTTCCTTATAGTCGGACTTGAGTCCTGGAAATGGAAGTACAATGCCTGCACTTTAAAGGAGGGGTTTGGGATATTGCAGTTTGGAGGGATATGTTGTGTATCTTTATACGTATATGCTTGCTAAACTGTTGTATTCTGAGCACCTCTGCAAAAGCAGTGATAATGTGTGAGTGTGGTGAAAGTGCTGAATGATGATGAAAGTATTTTCTTTTTGGACATTTTCTTTCTTTTTTGGGTCACCCTGCCTCGGTGGGAGACGACCAACTTGTTGAAATATATATATATATATATATATATATATATATATATATATATATATATATATATATATATATATATATATATATATATATATATATATATAATATATATATATATATATATATAATATATATATATATATATATATATAATATATATATATATATATATATATATATATATATATATGCTTTTATTTTGTGTTCTGTGTCCTGTTCCTTCGAGAGAGAGACCGAGTTTTTTCTTACTGCCTGTCATGGTCGAGGACGACCGTGGTGGTGCATGTCCGAGCAAATGTAGACAGCCTGTACTGTCTGCATAGACAGCCTATGCTGTCTGCCAGCTAAGTTCATAATTCGCGCCATGTTCGTGCTGCCACCTGTAGGCCTCACAGTGGGCATGCCACTTGAAACGGCATCACCCTGCCTCTTTCTCACTTGGCGTCCAGGCATACGAGAGTCAAAAAGGCCTACTCCTCTCTCCCTCGCTGGCATGGCATCCCCCTTGGGGCCATGGGCACAAACACACTGCCTGTGTACCCAGATATTACAAATAAAGTAAGAAGCCTCCGAAGCCTTATCATTGAACCACGCCTGCAACAATGACGACTGACAAATAAACATTCTCGTAAAGATTGACAAGGTTCTTGGAGAGCGAAACGTTGCCACAATAAAATGTCACATAAGCTGCATTTGTGTTCTTTATACCTAACATTTTGTCGGTAATTATGTCAATATTATTACACGATTCCCTTACCGGAAGGAAAAATAAAATTTCAACTGTCATTCACCTCTCTCGCTTAATTTTTTTCATTTCACGACTACCATGATGGACGCCCTGACTATCACCATGATGGACGCCCTGGCGACTACCATGGCAGAAGCTTTGATGACTACCATGACGGACAGCCTGATGACTACCATGCCGGACGCTCTGATGACTACCATGACTAACATCCTGATGACTACCATGACGCCCTGATGACTCCCTTGACAGATGCCCTGATGACTTCCATGATGGATACCCTGATGGCTACCATGATGGAGGCCCTAACGACTACCATTATGGACGCCTTGACGGCTACCATGACGAACGCCCTGACGGACACCCTGATAGAATCCCTGGCGGGCGCCTAATGGGACGCCCTGTATGACGCCCGTCCTGATGGTCTCCCTGTCATTGTTTAAAATGGTATATAACTCCCTCAAGTTGAAGATTAAGATACATGTGCGACAGCTTAATATCTTACTTGTTAAAAGATTCCTCCTACACAGTAGGCTTCTTCAGTCAAATATAAAAGGAGTAATGAAATTAATGACTCACGAAATCGTAATGACACGATTGGAAACAAACCACAACACAGGAGGGGTTTGAACCCGCGGTCAGAGAGTCGCGACGGTCTGGAGTTTTGAGACTCTTTGACCGCGGTTTTTTTTTAATGAAATGAAGATGATGTAATCAGGCCATCAACCTTGGAGAAAAAGTATTTGAGGTGGTCAGTCCCTCAGCTTAGAGAAAAGTTCAGCTCAATGGTTTGTAATAATATGAAGCTGAAGTATGAGAACTGAGTCTTAAATACTGTTGAAGGTGAGGTGGATGATCTGGAAGACGTTGTAGGGGACGGGATCCAGTAGTGGAAGTAAGAAGGTAGGTCCATCTGAGAATCCAACTCTTCTCAATCATTACTAGTAGATACTCATAGAAGAATGAAAGATGTCCTCTGTACCAAGATACCTTTGTGCTGCAGTGTCTGACAGTATTGTTGAAAATGGTATAAAATACTCACAGGTTGAATAAGACACATGTGCAACATGTGGGTATCTTTATTGATGAAACGTTTCGCCTTCAAAGGATGAAGTCTATTGTGTAGGAGAAACGTTTCATCAATAAAGATACCTAATTGTTCCTCCTTGTCACGTAAGTCTCATCGTCTGGGGTGCGGTTGCAGTGGCAGTGTTGTGTGCAGGTAGCTCCACCCCCTTAGCGAGGAGCTTGCCTTCTGGTGGCGACCTGCTGTCTGAGCTTGTAATACCTGTTTTCAGCTTGACTCGCTCCCACTCTCTGGACAGTCAACCAGGAAGCAACATCTCACCAGTTCATCTTTCCTAACACCCGGTCTGGCACCTGGCAGACGAAGCTTACCTTAACTACCAGTTAAACTGCAGCATAAGTATGTGAGTTTATTTAGCTGTTCTTATTGCTACTAACTACCAATTTTATACCATTTCTGCTCCTGCGACTACAGGTATGCCTATCTCACACTGTGGTTATAAGAACGTAATAATGGAGGAAGACTTCAGTAGGCCTACTGTCCCATACTAAGCAGGTATTTCTCAAACAAAGACCTCTAACAAAAATACTGTCCAAACCCATTCTAAATGCTACTTAAGGACAAACTCAAATCCAATGCCTCTCACTTACGTGTTTATCTAGCCTATATTACAAGCTAATTAAGGGCTATGCTTCAGTGGCCTAACTAGTCACATTGTTCCAGTCATTATGTTCTCTTTGTCCAAACCAGCACTCTCCTACACTCTTTCTAAACCTAAGCATGTCTAATCTGAATATTTTATTTCGAGTTCTTTCTTGAAGGGATGCCCTAAAAACATTATTTACGTCAATTTTATTTATGCCCATTTTTCACTTATACATTTTAATCATGTCTTTCTTAAAATTAAACATTCTACAATCTTTTATAATTGGGCTCTCAACCCAATTATAAAAGATTTCTTATTCAGTGGATTAATTTAGCCTTTCTTCTCTGTAAGTTCTCCAGTAAATCTATAATCCTTCTATAATATGGCAATTAGCAATGAGCTGTATAATCCAAGTGACGCCGCACAGCTGATGTATGGAGTTATAATATAACCTCTGAACTGCTGTTACTTATACTTCTTGATATAAATCCCAGTAATATGTTAGCCTTATTACACATGCTCAGGTATTGCTGTCTTGCCAAATAATTGACAGTTATTTGCATTCATGAGCTTCAGGATTTTGCATTTACCTACACTGAAATGCATCCGCCATTTTTCTGACCTCGATATAAGCTTGTCTATACCCTCCTGAAGCTCAATGGCAACAAACACCCTGGAATATAATATCCTGCCTATTTTTTCCGACGTTAGCGAATTCGATCATATCATTGTTATTTTCTCGTCAAGGTTGTTAATGCACATTATGAACAACTGGCCTAAAACTGATCCTTGTGGAATACCACTTGTGACTGATCCTCATTCGGATTTCACCCATTTATGCAGACTGGTCAGCCACGCCTTGACCCATACCCAGATTCCCCAACACCATGACGTGCTCCTTTCTTTACCATTCTTTTGTGGGATACTCAACTCCAAAGCTTTACTAAAATCCAAATTAACAATATCGTATTCTTTATCATGATCAACTGCTTCAAATGTTTTACTGAGAAAAGTCAAGACAAAAACGGCTACTCGTGAATCCATGTTGAGTATTACATTATAGATTTTTATAATATCAGATATAATTGACTTTCGAAATTTGCCTGCAGTTGTGGTCAGGTATGTTGGGCGGTAATTTGACGGTAATGACTTATCCCCTGATTTTAAAATAGGAATTTCATTAGACACTACACCTGTTTGAAGAGATATATTGAAAATGGTATTTAATAGTACACTAAGTTCCATTTTGCATTCTTTAAGAATCAATGAAAAAAGTTCATCTGGTCCTGGGAACTTATTTTGCTTTAATCGGTCAACTTGTTTGATTACCGTATTCCTAGTGACTGACATTACATAATTTATTTTCTTAAGGACCACTATAATAATTAATTAATTCCTTGGATATCGTTTGTATTTTTTAGTGAAATTCGAGCAAATTTCCTTCCCAGTGTTGGTAAGCTGTCTTGGGTTAGTATTAAGAAGACTTAGAATTTCTCTAACCTTTACTCCATATATTTGGGAAAAAACTCGTTTTCATTTCGAATCCTTATCAAGTTCAGTTTCATTATCCTATCTAGCTTTATTTATCACTTTCATAATCTCCACTTAATGTGATATATTATTATAAGATAAACTTCACCTCTCTTGTTAGGCCTATCTTTTCATCCATTTAGGATCATTTCTCTTCGATCTTATTTCTCTTTAGTGAATAAGTTTTTTTTTTCAACGTGTATCGTGTTTAGGATCAATGTTATCTGACAAAAGAAAATTTGGGATCTAATTTGGATTAAATTTACTTACGCACTTACATGTTAAATGTAATCGATTTCTGGTCACTCGTCCCAAGTTCCTCTGTTATCTCCGTATTATTAACAAGGGTTTCCTTCTTTGTTAAAACTAAATTAAACAAGTTATTTCCTCTAGTTGTTTCTGTCACAATCTTGAATTACCTCTACGAAGTCGTTTGACTTTAGATTCCCAGTCAAGAAATTCCAATCACTCTGACTAAAGTTAAAGTCCACTAGAATTACTATATTATCGCGCATTGAAGTCATAACAAATTTTTACCCAAAGTTTCCCTTGGTCCCTGTCCGGGTTCTTGGGGGCAGTATGTTTCGTCTAAAATAAATTTTCCATGCCTCTCCGGAAATTCCTACTCAGATAGAATGTGCTCCTTCAGTCTTGATAAATTAGACACATGTGCAACTCTTGGGTTTATTATTTTTTTTTTTTTTATTATCACACCGGCCGATTCCCACCAAGGCAGGGTGGCCCGAAAAAGAAAAACTTTCACCATCATTCACTCCATCACTGTCTTGCCAGAAGGGTGCTTTACACTACAGTTTTTAAACTGCGACATTAACACCCCTCCTTCAGAGTGCAGGCACTGTACTTCCCATCTCCAGGACTCAAGTCCGGCCTGCCGGTTTCCCTGAATCCCTTCATAAATGTTACTTTGCTCACACTCCAACAGCACGTCAAGTATTAAAAACCATTTGTCTCCATTCACTCCTATCAAACACGCTCACGCATGCCTGCTGGAAGTCCAAGCCCCTCGCACACAAAACCTCCTTTACCCCCTCCCTCCAACCCTTCCTAGGCCGACCCCTACCCCGCCTTCCTTCCACTACAGACTGATACACTCTTGAAGTCATTCTGTTTTCGCTCCATTCTCTCTACATGTCCGAACCACCTCAACAACCCTTCCTCAGCCCTCTGGACAACAGTTTTGGTAATCCCGCACCTCCTCCTAACTTCCAAACTACGAATTCTCTGCATTATATTCACACCACACATTGCCCTCAGACATGACATCTCCACTGGCCTCCAGCCTTCTCCTCGCTGCAACATTCATCACCCACGCTTCACACCCATATAAAAGCGTTGGTAAAACTATACTCTCATACATTCCCCTCTTTGCCTCCAAGGACAAAGTTCTTTGTCTCCACAGACTCCTAAGTGCACCACTCACTCTTTTTCCCTCATCAATTCTATGATTCACCTCATCTTTCATAGACCCGTCCGCTGACACGTCCACTCCCAAATATCTGAATACGTTCACCTCCTCCATACTCTCTCCCTCCAATCTGATATTCAATCTTTCATCACCTAATCTTTTTGTTATCCTCATAACCTTACTCTTTCCTGTATTCACCTTTAATTTTCTTCTTTTGCACACCCTACCAAATTCATCCACCAATCTCTGCAACTTCTCTTCAGAATCTCCCAAGAGCACAGTGTCATCAGCAAAGAGCAGCTGTGACAACTCCCACTTTGTGTGTGATTCTTTATCTTTTAACTCCACGCCTCTTGCCAAGACCCTCGCATTTACTTCTCTTACAACCCCATCTATAAATATATTAAACAACCACGGTGACATCACACATCCTTGTCTAAGGCCTACTTTTACTGGGAAAAAATTTCCCTCTTTCCTACATACTCTAACTTGAGCCTCACTATCCTCGTAAAAACTCTTCACTGCTTTCAGTAACCTACCTCCTACACCATACACTTGCAACATCTGCCACATTGCCCCCCTATCCACCCTGTCATACGCCTTTTCCAAATCCATAAATGCCACAAAGACCTCTTTAGCCTTATCTAAATACTGTTCACTTATATGTTTCACTGTAAACACCTGGTCCACACACCCCCTACCTTTCCTAAAGCCTCCTTGTTCATCTGCTATCCTATTCTCCGTCTTACTCTTAATTCTTTCAATTATAACTCTACCATACACTTTACCAGGTACACTCAACAGACTTATCCCCCTATAATTTTTGCACTCTCTTTTATCCCCTTTGCCTTTATACAAAGGAACTATGCATGCTCTCTGCCAATCCCTAGGTACCTTACCCTCTTCCATACATTTATTAAATAATTGCACCAACCACTCCAAAACTATATCCCCACCTGCTTTTAACATTTCTATCTTTATCCCATCAATCCCGGCTGCCTTACCCCTTTCATTTTACTACTGCCTCACGAACTTCCCCCACACTCACAACTGGCTCTTCCTCACTCCTACAAGATGTTATTCCTCCTTGCCCTATACACGAAATCACAGCTTCCCTATCTTCATCAACATTTAACAATTCCTCAAAATATTCCTTCCATCTTCCCAATACCTCTAACTCTCCATTTAATAACTCTCCTCTCCTATTTTTAACTGACAAATCCATTTGTTCTCTAGGCTTTCTTAACTTGTTAATCTCACTCCAAAACTTTTTCTTATTTTCAACAAAATTTGTTGATAACATCTCACCCACTCTCTCATTTGCTCTCTTTTTACATTGCTTCACCACTCTCTTAACTTCTCTCTTTTTCTCCATATACTCTTCCCTCCTTGCATCACTTGCAAGGAGGGAAGAGTATATGGAGAAAAACTCTTCCCTTGGGTATCTCCTCAATAAAGATACCCAAGAGTTGCACATCTGTCTAATTTATCAACATGTCGGTTCTCTGAACCATTCATCTACAAATCCTTCAGTCTTATTATCTGTTTAACATATATTGCCTCCCTCCTTCCTTCCTGTTATTTTTGTCAATGTGGAACAATTTAAAATCCTGAATATGGCATTCAGCAGCCACGTCTCGGGTCTTCATAATAAATCACGTCTGAATTATGGAAAATACATCAGTATGTCTCGCACTTGCAACTAATAACAACTCATCCATCTTGCTTCAAGCACTACAACTATCTCCATAATATGTATTGAGAAACCTGTTCTCTTTCCTTTTCCTGTTCATTCCCGCTC